CTTTCCCGGTTACCTTGCTGCACATCCTGTCATTCCGGCAGGAATTCTCGTTATCCTGGTCTGCCGCCTCCTCCTCCACCTTCGGGAAGGGAAGAAGAAACAAAAATTTGGGAAGAGGGACCACGAAAAAAAAAAAGGAGGGATGGGAAAAAAAATCGGGATCACGAGAAAAAGGGGGGAAAGAGGGAAGAGCCGGGAAGAGCTGGGAAGGATCCAGGGAATTCCTGGGGTTTGGGATCATTCCATGGAGCAGGAGGATCCTGGGAAGGATCCAGGGAATTCCCGGGATTTAGGATCATTCCACCAAGTGGGAGGATCCTGGGAAAGTGCCAGAATTCCCAGGATTTGGGATCATTCCACGGAGCAGGAGGATCCCGGGAAGGATCCAGAATTCCTGGGATTTGGGATCATTCTATGGAGCAGGAGGATCCTGGGAAGGATCCAGGGAATTCCCGGGATTTGGGGTCATTCCACGGAGCAGGAGGATCCTGGGAAGGATCCAGAATTCCCAGGATTTGGGATCATTCCCACAGAGCAGGAGGATCCCGGGAAGGATCCAGGGAATTCCCGGGATTTGGGATCATTCCATGGAGCAGGAGGATCCTGGGAAGGATCCAGAATTCCTGGGATTTGGGATCATTCCACGGAGTGGGAGGATCCTGGGAAGGATCCAGAATTCCCAGGATTTGGGATCATTCCATGGAGCAGGAGGATCCTGGGAAGGATCCAGAACTCCCGGGATTTGGGATCATTCCACGGAGTGGGAGGATCCTGGGAAGGTGGCAGAATTCCCGGGATTTGGGATCATTCCCACAGAGCAGGAGGATCCTGGGAAAGTGCCAGAATTCCTGGGATTTGGGGTCATTCCATGGAGCAGGAGGATCCTGGGAAGGATCCAGGGAATTCCTGGGATTTGGGATCATTCCATGGAGCAGGAGGATCCCGGGAAGGTGGCAGAATTCCCAGGATTTGAGATCATTCCCACAGAGTAGGAGGATCCTGGGAAGGATCCAGAATTCCTGGGATTTGGGATCATTCCACGGAGTGGGAGGATCCTGGGAAGGATCCAGAATTCCCGGGATTTGGGATCATTCCATGGAGCAGGAGAATCCTGGGAAGGATCCAGGGAATTCCCGGGATTTGGGATCATTCCCACGGAGCAGGAGGATCCTGGGAAGGATCCAGGGAATTCCTGGGATTTGGGATCATTCCATGGAGCAGGAGGATCCTGGGAAGGATCCAGGGAATTCCCGGGATTTGGGATCATTCCCACAGAGCAGGAGGATCCCAGGAAGGATTATTTTTTCCCAGGATTATCCCAAAAATTCCTACCTGGACAAAGCTCTTCCCAGGGTTATTTTTCCCAGGATTATCCCAAACATTCCCACCTGCTCCAGCCTTTTCCCAAGATTATCTTTCCCAAGATTTTCCCAAACATTCCCACCTGGACAAAGCTCTTCCCAGGGTTATTTTTCCCAGGATTATTCCCAAAAATTCCCAGTTGCCCCAGCCTTTTCCCAGGATTATTTTTCCCAGGATCATCCCAAACATTCCCACCTGCTCCAGCCTTTTCCCAGGATTATCCTTCCCAGGATTATTCCCAAAAATTCCCAGTTGCCCCAGCCTTTTCCCAGGATTATCCTTCCCAGGATTATTCCCAAAAATTCCCAGTTGCCCCAGCCTTTTCCCAGGATTCTCTTTCCCAGGATTATTCCCAAACATTCCCACCTGCCCCAACCTTTTCCCGGGATCACCCCCAACATTCCCACCCCGTGTCCCACCCCCGGATCCCCCCCTTCCCCCCCCCCCCCCCCCCCCCCCCCCCCCGGCCCCCCCCTTCCCCCCCCCCCCCCCCGCATTCCCAGGATTCTCCCAGACATTCCCAACCAGGGGGAGCTGTTTAAGGCCTCCGGCCCCCTCCGGAATTCCCGGATCCCAAGGAAAAAAGCGGGAATTGCCTCTCACCTCCTTGCGCCACTTGAGCTCGCAGAAGACGCGCTCGAAGCACTCGTGCATGTAATTGAACTGCGGAGACACGGAATTCCAGGGATTTGGGGCCCATCCCGGGGATGCAGGACAGGCCAGAGGGACCAGAGGGGAGCCAGGGGCGATCCCGGGGATCCTGGATGTGCCAGGAGATCCAGAAGGGATCCAGGGGTGATCCCAGAGATCCTGGATGTGCCAGGAGATCCAGAGGGGATCCAGGGGCGATCCCGGGGATCCTGGACATGTCAGGAGATCCAGAGGGGAGCCAGGGGCGATCCCAGGGATCCTGGACGTGCCAGGAGATCCAGAGGGGATCCAGGGAATCCTGGACGTGCCAGGAGATCCAGAGGGGAGCCAGGGGCGATCCCGGGGATCCTGGATGTCCCAGGAGATCCAGAGGGGATCCAGGGTGATCCCGGGGATCCTGGATGTGCCAGGAGCTCCAGAGGGGATCCAGGAGATCCTGGACGAGCCAGGAGTTCCAGGGATGATCCAGGAGATCCAGGAACAATTCTGGAGATCCTGGACAAGTCAGGAGATCCCAGGAGGAGCCAGGAGATCCTGGACAAGCCAGAAATTCCAGGAGCAATCCAGGAGATCCTGGATAAGTCAGGAGCTCCAGAGGGGATCCAGGAACAATCCTAGAGATCCCAGACAAGCCAGGGGATTCTGGGAGGAGTCAGGAGCTCCTGGGTCAATCAAGGAGATCCTGGAGAAGCCAGGAGATCCCGGACAAGCCAGGAGCTCCAGGGATGATCCAGGAGGTCCAGGGGCAATCCAGGAGATCCTGGACATGCCAGGGAATTCTGGGAGGAGTCAGGAGCTCCTGGGTCAATCCAGGAGATCCCGGACAAGCCAGGAGCTCCAGGGATGATCCAGGAGGTCCCAGGAGGATCCAGGAGCTCCAGAGGGGATCCAGGAGATCCTGGACAAGCCAAGGGGGCCAGAGGGGAGCCAGGGGTGATCCCGGGGATCCTGGATGTGCCAGGGGATTCTGGGAGGAGCCAGGAGCTCCAGAGGGGATCCAGGGAATCCTGGACATGTCAGGAGCTCCAGAGGGGAGCCAGGGGCAATCCCGGGGATCCTGGACAAACCAGGGGGGTCAGGGAGGATCCAGGGGCGATCCCGGGGATCCTGAACGTGCCAGGGGATTCTGGGAGGAGCCAGGAGCTCCAGAGGGGATCCAAGGAATACTGGAGGAGCCAGGAGCTCCAGGGATGATCCAGGTGATCCAGGAACAATCCTGGAGATCCTGGACAAGCCAGGAGCTCCAGGGATCATCCAGGAGGTCCAGGGGCAATCCAGGAGATCCTGGACATGCCAGGGGGGCCAGGGAGGATCCAGGAGATCCTGGACAAGCCAAGGGGGCCAGAGGGGATCCAGG